TTCAACCATCACACTCAGAGCCCGCCTCCTAATCCTCGGGCGGAGCGGCTCGGGGCCCCATTTTATGGCAATAAAGCGACTTAGCGCCTGCTGAGCGAGCCCCTCCCCGCTGCCGCCCCCGCCCTCGGCCCCACCCCGGGGCTCACCCGCAGCGGCCCGGCTTTGTTTCTGGGGAGGAGGACCTGGAGCTCTTTTGTTTGGGGGCTTGGTGTTTTCACCCCCCCACACACTCCACACACACCCCAACCTCACCCCACCCCCCGTGCCTCTCCGATTTCCTGAACTAAGGGCTGCTAAGGGAGGAGAAGCGGCTTCTTGCAACCCCCTCGGCTGGGCCCCGGGGTAATTCGATGCGGGCCTGGCCAGGCTCCCCACGCTAGACCCGGGCTCGCGTCTCGGCAGCCTCCACCCACCGGCCCACCCTACATTTAGCGCATCATGTGATCCGGGTAAGTCATTTGCAAGTACAACAGTTCCCTGGGTTGCCCCCCATTCATTTCCTGAGAACTGCAGAGAGCAGCTGAGAGGCTCTGCTTGTGCGTGTGCGTGTGAGTGTGCGCGGGTGACGCCGTCTGTGTGTGTGTGTGTGTGTGTGTGTGTGTGTGTGTGCGCGCGCGCGCGTGTGTGCGCGAGTGTGCGCGCGCGCGTGTGAGAGAAAGGGCGAGAGAGGGGGACTCTGTGAGGGAAAGAAAACAATTTCTCCTGCTCTGCAGCTTCTGTTCAGGTCTGTGCCGATTCCGTTTCTTATCAAAATAAACAACCCCCTCCTTCTTTCTTTGCCATCCCAAATCAGACCTTATTCTATTAACGTGTTTTATTTTCCTTGTGTCATCTGCTCAAGTTAAATCATTTTGGTTGGTCTGTATTCTTAAAGGGGGGAAAGTGTTGGGAAGCGGGAGGGGGCCCAGGGAAGGGCGATGCTATTGCTGCGCGTGGAGCGGCGGTCGGATTCGTGGAGAAGAAAGAGGGAGGATACTTCCCCCACTCCCCTAAACATTTTAAAAAGAACTTAGCAAGTAACGTGAATTAAACAAATGCTTTGCTCCCCGGACTGGAATTGTTGATTGCAGTGTTTGCCTGACAGTTGCCAAAAATGAGAAATAAAATTCCAGGGCTGAATGGGCTGAGGGTGAGGGGGTGTCTTGGAAGTAGTTAGTCCCCAGGATGGATTGCTGCTGCACCGGAGCTGGTGCGGGTTGTGTGTGAGCGCTGGAGAGTGGAGGGGAAGGGGTTAAGGCGGAGATAACACTGCTGGCATGAATAGTGGTCCTGGTGGTACATTCATTATTGTCTGGGTTGCAATGATGTGGAACTGTCACTTGCAACCGTGCCTGGCCCATGGAAGTAGCCAGGGGCTGGCCCGTGGCTGTTATTTTCAGTTAGGAAGGACCTGGCCTGAGTTGACAAGGGGCAACTTTGTCAGGCCACCTGGGCCACGAAGCCCGCGGAGTTGGCCTAGGAGCCACTTCTGCTCTGTGAAGCTCAGCTCAGAGGGCTCGGGCTTGACCTCCGCTACTTTAGTTGGAGTTCAGGTTGGATGCTCTCCTACCAGGAGAATCAATCCTGCTTTTGTTGGGCAGGGAACTGCCTACCAGAACTTTGCAAACTTTTATCTTTGGGGAAAAGGGTGGGGTGCACTCAACAGTTTTGTTTCTTGGTGCATTTGAGGCAAATGCTTGGAAAAAGTACCAATTCCTTTGTTACATGCCCTGTAGCTTCCCAGCCCCTTTACCCCTGCTCTTCGAGTTTTGCATACTTTAATAGTCCTAGTCTTAATTCAGCTGATAAAAGCTGACTCTGTTGAATTAAAGAGTATTAGTACAACGGAATGTGTAATCTGGACAAACAGTTTGTGTGGTTAGTACTGTCAGCTCGCTAATTTAACTGTACAGATGGCTTAAGTCTGTTCTGTATAGATTGTTTTAAATAATTCTACTGGCTAATAGAATTCTCCACTGAGCACTAAGGTATTTTAACACAGCGTTAATATTCTGTTTCCCTGTAACACCAGTGAGATGAACAGCTCTATTTACATTTAGTGCCGGTGTATCTAGTTGCTTCTTCGACATCTGCCAATCAAATATACGTCATGGGCAAATCCACCTAGACGCCTCCATTCCTTTTTCTTAGTGAAGGATAGTTTAGATAAGTAAGTGCTTTGAAAGAAATTTGGTGGGTTTTAGCAATTAACACCTTGTGGTGGGAAAAGGAGTGGTCACTTTGAAGAGTGAGAGTATAGCATCATCTGAGACAGGCTTTTGGAACTGGCATTTAATTACCACAGTGGAACCCCTCCTCCCCAAGAAAAACCCCTCCTCCCTGGTTGTACTATTCACAGACCTCATTCACATGTTGTTTACATTGAAAAAAAAAAAAACTGGTTACTTAAAAGGTATTGATTTTTTAGGCTAGAAAAAATTTAACTGTAGAATCTTAAAAAATAGGATGCTGAAAGATATCTCAGGTGCATAAGTTATATCTTTACGGCTGCAACCTGGCCAATCTTGATAATAGATTGAGTATAATATGATCATTTGAGAGGAGTGAGAGAGAGAGAGAGAGAGAGAGAGAGAGAGAGAGAGAGAGAGATTTGAGCATCTAAGAATTGGCAGAACTATTGAATATATTTAGGGAAAATGGTTTATACCAACTCATAAGTATTATGAAATATACTTAAACCATCAAAATTAGAATGTTTTCACATGAAATTTCATAATTTATGAGCTGCAACTGTGTAACTAACATAGTCATGTCAGGGCAAATGATCCTTAGGGGATTTCTGCTTATTATTGAAGTCCTTTAGTTATTTATCTTCTACTTAGTAAGGCATATTTAAAAGAAACTGAAGTCAGCGCAACTTTATTGGGGAGTGCTTTTCATTACTGTTCATTGAATGAAAATTGTGCTACTGAGCCCTTAACACATCCCTTAGTTCCTTTTCAAGAAATGAATGTTGTCTGGGAGGAAATGGTCCTGGTGTAGCAGGGAGACCTTGACCTTAGCAACTCTTGTTTGGTGGTTGTTGACCAGTGCTGCAGCCTCTGTGTGTATGGAATGAGAAGGGAGTGCAGGCACCCTCTCTCCCATGATACTTGCCATTGAGTCTCCGGAGCGTGCATCCAGCCTAGGGTATCCCTCCTGTTCTGGTAGTGCACAAATATACTTGTTGCTCAGAAATTTCCTCTGGCTGCTTGTGAAGAGAAAAGCATCAGTGAGTTAGATGATCTACCATGAAACAGACTGTTATCAACGTAATGAAAATAGTTTGTAAGCCTAGGTGTGCTTTATCTCAGCAAAGGTGATCTAAGTTCTTGGGCCTCTAGGCCTGTACTAGGGGCATTTTGAATTGGAAATGTTGGTTGATCTAAAGTTTTGAGAAACCTTAATCAGTGAGGTAGTGTTGTTATATAGTTGAGACTATAAAACGTGGTTGTTCTGGGTATTTTTTTCCAGTTATACAAAATGAAAAGCATGAAACTTTCTATTTGTATAAATCAAACAACATTAAAACAATCTTACTACATTAGAGTGCCAAGTGATTTGTTTGCTTTATATTTGGGAGACACATTTTTAAAGAGTGTCAGGGTCATAAATCTAGCTCTAGTATGTGCATTAATACAGAATAGCTGTACAAAAATAGTAATAGCACAGACTCATTTGAAACTCACAAACTTATTCTTTGCTCGGATAGTTTACTGCCTTGTTATATGTTGATTAATGAGCAAGAGTTAAAAATCCTCAAATTAACACTATTGTTCTCTTTTTTTTGTTTAAGAAGTAACTTTCATTTTTATAAATTCTAAAATGGGTTGCAGCTGTCTATCTGTGACATTTTGATTTTGAGAGTAACTCTAACAGCAGACTGAAAATATGTAACCCTTCCTCCCTCTGTGTCCCTCCTTCCCTCCTGCCCTTCCTCCCCTCCTTCCTCCCTCTCCCCTCTTTGAACTTAGTCCTGATGGGTTTTGACTTGATTGTGTAGCTGAAACTCACCTTGAACTTCTGAATCTCCGGAGTATAGGATAACAGACATACACCACCTCAGTCAGCTTGTTTTCCTTTTCTTAACTCAAAACTTTTTCAGTTTTTAGACTGTGAATTATGCACCACTTTTGGCTTTAAATGTGCATAAAATGTAAGAGTAAAAATATTGAAATTAAGTCACTGGCAACACCCTTTAACCACAGCCTTAACTCACGCACCACACCCACTCCTCTCCCTGAGCAGAATGGAAGCTAACAGATGGGCCTTGCCCTGTGCCCGGAAGGTCAACTGCCTGTGGCTCGGTCAGGCTTGCTTGGGTTCTAACTCCCAAGCCAGAGATCTGTGTGACTTAAACCCACCAGAATTCATTCTCAAGACCCACATGAACCACACCCCATCTGATGTCAGCTACTGAGTTCTTGTGGTGGAGAACACATGCTGTGGATTAAATGGTTGCTTTCTCTATATATTCTCAGTAATTAAGTTACAAAAGGATTTTTTGGTTAGGAGTGTTTATTGTCACAAAGTGGCTACTTGAGTAGTCATATTGCTCCATAAAAATTTGCTTTGGTCTGGTAGAAGATTATAGGATATTCACCCAAATCGCTGTGCTCTAGTATGGTCTTTCTTTTTTTCTTTCTTTTTTTTTTCAACTGCCATACTTATTTTCAAATAAGGTTTACAGATATATACATACTTTATTTTGTTTTTTTTTTAAGAATAAAAATATTTTTATTTTTTTCTTTGACAATTTCATCCATGTGTTCAATGGATCTTGATCACATTTGCCCCCCCCCCCACCTTCCTTTCCACCGCTTGGACATCTTCCAATACACCCTTCTCCCACATCCATGTCCTCTCCTATGTATGTATGTATGTATGTATGTATGTATGTATGTATGTATTTTAACACTCTTAGCCTAACTGGTGCTGCCTGCTGGAATATTGACTGATATTGTGGGTTTGACCTTGTGTGGGTCTTGTACATGTAACGATAGCTGCAGTGAGTTCCTATGTGGCAGCCATGCCATGTCCAGAGGACAATATTTCACAGCAATTCTTCCTGTCATCTGGTTCTAAATTCTTTTCACTTCTTCCTCAACGCTCCCTGAACCTTATAGGGGACTGCGGGGGTAATATAATTTTCCATTTAGGGCTGAACATGCAAAGGTCACTGATTCTCAGTACTTTGTTGCTAATCACATGGTACATATTTTTGCATATTTAATAGTATACTTATCAGATTGCTTCAAACAATATTGCTACCTAGGTACTAAGGGAGAAGCAGAGAGCCTTTGTGGTGGTGGTTCTGCTCCGTTGAAGGTGAGAGAACAAAAATCTGGAGAGCTTTGAGATACTTTTGTAACCCCCATGAAAGCCCATGAGAACTGCCTGCTGGCTTTGACAGAAATTGTGTCTAAGGTACAACATGTACCATGATTTTTGGTGTATATAACTTTTTACA